ACACTGACCTTGGGCAGGCCTGGTTCCCACCAACACAAAATAGCCATACATTTTAGTGTTGGAGCTCTTCAGGGACACTCACTGCACATGGCACAGGCCCATGCAACTCGACAACTGAGACAACACAATCCCCAGAGGGGAAAAAAATGAGGAGTTGCCAAGAAAGGAAATTAGTGAAAATGAAGCATGCAACATGACAGAAAAAAAAACTCAGAGTAATGGTCATATAATTTATATACTAGATGGATAAGAAAATCAACAACCTATGCAAAAATCAGGAAGAAATAAAAAATTGATATAGCTATAATCAAAAACACAATGGAAGGTTTCAACAGTAGACTCAAAGAAACAGAGGACCAAATAAGTGAATTAGAAGATAAGGTAGAGAAACAAGCTCAATGTGAACAGCAACTAGAGAAAAAAATTAAAAAGCATGAGGAGAGTCTAAAGGAGCTTTGGGACAACATAAAACAAAGTAACATAGATACATATAATAGAGCTGCCAGAAGAACAAAAAGAGCAGCAAGGATTAGAAAATCTATTTGGAAAATAATGACAGAAAACTTCCTGGCTATGGGGAAGAAAAAAACTATACAAGTACAGAGTCCCAAGCAAGATGAATCGCAAAAGACCCACACCAAGACACATCATAATTACAATGGCAAATGTTAACAACAAAGAAAGAATCTTAAAGGCTTCAAGAGAAAGACATAGAGTTACCTATAAAGGATCCCCCGTCAGATTATCAAATGATTTCTCATCAGAAACACATCAAGCTAGAAGGGAATGAAAGGAGGTATATAAAGTGTTACAAAGCAAAGGACTGAATCCATGAATACTATATCAAAATTGAAGAGGAAATCAGGAGCTTTGCAGACAAAAAAAGGCTAAGGGAGTTTATCACTACCAAGCCAGCAATGCAAGAAATGCTAAAGGGAATGCTGTAAAAAGAAGAAATAAAAAATTAAGACGTAACATAGGAACAAAAATAGAAATGACTACAAACAAGTACCTTTCAATAATAACTTTAAATGTAAACAGACTAAATGCTCCAATCAAAAGACATCGAGTGGTTGAATGGATAAAAAAGACCCGACCTATATATATATATATGCTGTCTACAAGAGACCCACCTCAGAACAAGGGACTCACATATACTGAAAGTGAAGGGATGGAAAAATATATTTCAGGCAATCAGAAATGAAAAAAAAAAGCTGGGGTAGCAATACTTATATATGACAAAATAGACATCAAAGTGAAAGCTATAACAAGAGATAAGGATGGCCACTTCATAATACTAAAGGGATTGATACAACAAGAGGTTATAACCCTGATAAACATATATGCACCCAATGCAGGAGCACCCAAATAAATTTTAAAAAAATCCTGGAAGATATCAAGGGAGAGATTGACAACAATACAATCATAGTAGGGGACTTTAATACACCACTAACATCACTGGATAAATCCACTAGAAAAAAAATCAGCAAGGACACAGCAATCCCAAATGACTCACTAGAACAGGTGGAATTAATTGATATCTTCAGAACATTTCACCCCAAAGCCATATATAGGAATGTACATTCTTCTGAAGTGCACAAGGGACATTTTAAAAAATAGACCATATATTGGGTCATAAGCAAAGTTTCCCCAAATTCAAGTATCTTCTCAGACCATAATGGCATAATATTAGAAATAAACTACAATAAAAACAAACCAAAAAACTCAAACACTTGAAAGCTGAATAGCATACTATTGAATAATGATTGGATTACCAATGAGATCAAAGAAGAAATTAAAAACATCATGGAAACTAATAACAATAAGAACACAACCATCCAAAATCTATGGGACACAATGAAAGCAGTCCTAAAAGGGAAGTTTATAGCTCTCCAGGCCTACCTCAAAAAACAAGAAAAAATGGTAGTAAATCATCTAATGCTACGACTCCAAGAATTAGAAAGAAAGCAACAAGAAAAGCCCAGAGTGAGGAGACGGAAGAAAATAATAAAGATCAGAGAAGAAATAAATGACACACACACACACACACACACAAATACAAAAGATCAATGAAACCAAGAGCTGGTTCTTTGAAAGGATAAACAAGATTGATGAACCTCTAGCTAGGCTCACTAAGAAGCAAAGAGAGAGGACCCAAATGAACAAAATCAGAAATGAAAGAGGCTAAATAACAATAGACCCTATAGAAACACAAACAATGGTTAAAAATACTATGAACAACTCTACTCCAACAAACTAGATAACCTGGAGGAAATGGATATATTCCTAGAAAAATACAACCTTCCAAAACTCATTCAGAAAGATTCTAAAAATCTCAATAGACCGAAAACTATGGAAGAAACTGAAGCAGTCATCAAAGAGCATCTAGCAAACAAAAGTCCAGGACCAGACAGCTTCACAGGGGAGTTATACCAACCACTAAGGAAGAACTAAAACTTATATTCTTCAGACTATTCCAAAAAATTCCAGAGGAAGGAACACTTCTAAGCTCATTCTATGAAGCCAGGATTACCTTACAGATAAAGACAATACAATGAAAGAGAATTACATGAACACAGATGCCAAAATCCTCAAAATTCTAGCAAATCAGATCCAGCAGTACATCAGAAAGATCATACACCATGATCAAGTAGGATTTATCCCAGGGATGCAAGGATGGTTCAATATCTGCAAATCAATAAACATGATACATCACATAAACAAATTGAGGGATAAAAATCACATGATCATATCAATTGATGGAGAAAAGCATTTGACAAAATCACAACACTCGTTCTTGATAAAAACTCTCAGCAAGGTGGGAACAGAAGATACCTCAACATAATAAAAGCCATATATGACAAACACACAGCCAACATCATATTCAATGGACAAAAACTAAAACCATTTTCCCTAAGAACAGTAACAAGACAAGGATGTCCATTCTCACTGCTCCTGTACCACATAATACTGGAAGTACTAGCCATTGTGATTAGACAAGAAGAAATAAAAGGCATCCAATTGGAAAAGAAGTAAAACTGTCCTTATTGACAGATGACATGATACTGTACATAGAAAACCCTAAAGACTCCATCAAAAAATTATAAGACTTAATAAATTCAATGCAGCAGGATACAAAATTAATGCCAAGAAATCTATAGCATTTTTTTCACCAATAGTGAACTTACAGAAAAAGAAACTAAAAAAGCATCTCATTTACCATTGCACCAAAAAAATTAAAAGATACCTAGGAATAAACTTAACTAAGAAGGTAAAAGATCTATATGTGAAAAACTATAGGACACTCAAAAAAGAGATAGAGGAAGACATAAACAGATGGAAGAACATACTGTGTACATGGACTGGTAGAATCAAAATCATCAAAATGTCCATATTACCCAAAGCAATCTATAGACTCAATGCATTTCCCATTAAAATACCATTGGCATATTTCACAGACCTAGAACAAATTATCCAAAACTTCATGTGGAATTAAAAAAGACTCTGAATAGCTGCAGCAATCCCGAGAAAGAAGAACAAAGTAAGTGGGATCTCAATACCACATATCAAACTGTATTACAAAGCCACTGTTTTCAAAAGAGCCTGGTATTGGCACAAGAACAAACATATAGATCAATGAAATAGAATGAATAATCCAGAAATTGACCCAAACCACTATACCCAATTAATATTCGACAAAGGAGGCATGAACATACAATGGAGTCAAGACAGTCTCTTTAATAAACGTGTTGGAAAAATTAGACAGATACTTCCAAAAAAAATGAAACTAGACCACCAACTTATACCATACGCAAAAATAAACTCAAAATGGATAAAGGACTTAAACATAAGGCAAGAAACCATAAAAATATCAAAGGAATCCACAGGCAGTGAAATCTCGGACATATGCCGAAGCAATTTCTTCACTGATACTGCTCCTAGGGCAATGGAAACTAAAGAGAAAATAAACAAATGGGAATACATCAAAATAAAAAGCTTTTGCACAGAAAAGGAAACCATCAACAAAACAAGAAAACCCACTGCATGGGAGAACATATTTGCCAATGTTATCATCCATAGGGTTTAATCTCCAACATTTACAGGGAACTCATACAACTTAATAAAAGGAAGATAAACAATCCAACCAAAAAAATGGACAAAGGACCTAAATAGATACTTTTCGAAAGAAGAAAGAAGGAAGGCCAAGAGACATATGAAAACATGTTCAAAGTCACTAATTATCTAAGAGATGCAAATCAAAACGACAATGTGGTATCATCTCACACCTGTTAGAATGGCTATTATCAACAAATCAACAAATGACAAGTGTTGGCGAGGATGCAGAGAAAAAGAAATCCTTTTGTACTGCTGGTGGGAATGCAGACTGGTGCATCCACTATAGAGAACAGTATGGAGTTTCCTCAAAAAACTAAAAATGGAACTCCCATTTGACCCCATGATTCCACCCCATGATATCCCAAGAAACCAGAAACACCAATCAGAAAGGATAGCAGCAAAATTCACCATCACTAAGATTTGGAAACAGCCTAAGTACCCATCAGCAGAGGAGTGGATTAGAACACTATGGTATATCTACACAATGGGATAAAAGAAGGAATTCTTACCATTTGCAACAGCATGAATAAAACTGAAGAGCATTATGCTAAGTAAAATAAGCCAGAGAAAGATAAATATCACATGATCTCACTCATTTATGGAATATAATGAACAACATAAACTAATGAACAAAAGCAGATCCAGAGAAGCATAGATCAAACTGTCAAACCTCAGAAGAAAGGTAGGGGAGGGGAAGGGTAAAGGGGAGAGATCAACCAAAGAACTTGTATGCATACATATAAGCCTAAGCAATGGACAGACAACAGGGGGGTGAGGGCATGGGTGGGAGGGAGTTGGAGGGGGGTAATGGAGGAATGAGGACACATATGTAATACCTTATTCAATAAAGAAATTAAAATGAAATAAAATAAAATTCAACTTACTTGTATCTGACAGTTTGTACTGTTTCTGCTGAAACATTGTTAACAATGCATTTAGCAGCACATTCCAATCCCTGCCAGACAGTTGAAAATCCTGCAAATACATTTAAAAGTAAGTAAAAGTAACCCATAGCAAATAGACCTTCCTAGTTTAAATTTCTGCCCTTTATGTTACCTTGAACACTACTTGCTGCTACGACCATAGCACCATCCAGGGGAGACTTCCCATCTCTGTCTTTTTTAAGAGATTCTGGAACAAGTTTGCTTCCATGCTTCTTGACATGTGGAGCTAGTTCCTTCCCAACACAATTTGCTACAGTGCAAACTCCATCAACTATATAATCATAAAAATAAAAACTTTTGAAAAAAAATGTATTCTTCCCTTGATTTTACCACTCTTAACAAAATTCTTACACAGGCATCTAAAGTTGTTTTACTGCATGTTACCATTTTTGTTTAAGGATAAGAACCAAGACTGGCTATTTTTTATTTTTTTAAATATATATTTTATTGATTTTTTACAGAGAGGAAGGAAGAGAGAGAGAGAGCTAGAAACGTAGATGAGAGAGAAACATCGACCAGCTGCCTCCTGCACACCCCCCACCGGGGATGTGCCTGCAACCAATGTACATGCCCCCAACCGGAATCGAACCCGGGACCTTTCAGTCCGCAGACCGACGCTCTACCATTGAGCCAAACCAGCTTCGGCAAGACCGGCTATTTTTTAAACAAAGTCTATTGTTTGGTGTAAGGAGGTGTCTGCAGAGCCTACTGATGTTTTAAATCCTGCTTCAAATATATGTTCTTTTTGGCAATTTGCTTAAAAGAGAAGGACCTGCCCTAGCTGGCTTGGTTCAGTAGATAGAGTGTTGGCCTGCGGACTGAAAGGTCTCAGGTTCGATTCCGAAGCACATGCCTGGATTGCAGGCTCTATTCCCAATGGGGAACGTGCAAGAGGCAGCCGAACAATGATTCTCTCTCATCATTGAAGTTTCTATCTCTTTCTCCCTCTCCCTGCCTCTCTGAAATCAATAAAAATATATTAAAATAAAAAGAGACAGAGAGAAGGATCTACCTTTTCTATCTGATTGCTACAATGCAAGATGGTAGATCCAAACTTTTATGTTTTCCAGCTAAGGGTATTTGTATTTTCTCTTTATATCCACAAGTATCTCACTGAAATAGTAGTAAAGTATTTAAATCTACAAAAGTAAACAAACCAAAATCTGATTCAAAAGAAAACTAGATAACAAAAAGATAGTCTTATAATATTTATAGATAATCTGTAAGAAGCTATCTAACCATCTTAAAATATTAAACTTTAGAGCTATCAAAGAAGGAAAGGTAGAAGCATATTTCTTGGGAAGGCTGACACCAGAATCACTAAATCAGCTTTTTCAAATAATATATCCCTTTCTCTTGACCCTCAACTACCATGCAGTGAACAGTCCTTAAAAGAATGTGTCATATTTGCCTAGTGGCTCAGTGGTTGAGCATAAACCTGTCGACCAGGAAATCATGGTTTGATTCCTGGTCAAGGCACATGCCTGGGTTTCAGGCTCAATTCCCAGTGGGAGTTGTGCAGGAGGCAGCTGATTAATGCTTGATGTTTGTATCTCTCTCTGTCCCTTCCTCTCTGAATCAATTTTTTTTTAAATCTATAAAAAATAGAAAGTAAAATCAATAAAAAATAGTTTTTAAAAGGATATTTAAAGGATATTATATATAATATGTCATATTCTAGGATATTAAATACATATTCAAGACCATTCCTTTTCAGAGATACAGATGTTCTCTTCTCTAACTTGATCAAAATAACCCTTTAACCAGTGTTTCTCAAACTTTTTATACGCAAGTAAAAATCACCTAGGGAGCTCATAAAAATGTAGATTCTGAATCCGTATGTCAATTTCAGGAATATTGTTAAGGCTCTGATAGGTTGATGTTGCTGGTCTATAGATTCTACTATGAACTGAAAGATGAAACTGCTTTGTTCTAATTCTTTACTCTTCAAGATAAACTAAATTGAGCATTCATATTAACTTGAATTAAGAGATTACTTGTCATTTAACTGAAAAGAAGTAAAGCCATCTAAAATCATCTTACCCAGGAACTGACTGACTTTCGCTGCTCCTCCAGTAGCCTGCTTTGCTATATGAAGTCCCCTGGTCACAGATGGACTAACTTCCACTGGTTTTTCTTCTGGTTGAATCCGTTCCCGGAGTTTAGAAGCACCTTTCTGAATTGCTTTACCAGTAAATTCAGCACCTTTGACTAAACCCCAACTTACCCAGGAAGCACCTTTTAAAAGATAATTTTAAAATGCATAATATTATAAGATGATTATGCCTTTAAATCCTTTAATAACTAACTAATCAGCAGGAAAAAATCCAAGAAGTTCAAATATCAGATTCCAAACATGCCATAAACTTTCCAACCAAATTTTTGCAATTACAGTTTTCTGTCTGGAATATACACATTTTCTAAGTAAACTCCTCTTTAATAGTTATATCACTCAATAAGAGTTCTGTACTACTCTGCTGCCACTACAGCTTATATATGCATATCACAGTATACTATTGTTAGGGACTAATTTGGGCAGTGGTGCCATTAAAATAGTATTTGGCTAAAGACTCAGGTATCATTGTTCATTGTGCCTTAGTCCAAGCATCATGTTCTCCCCATGGAGTCCTCTAAGGTAATAGACACACAGAATGTTAACCGGAAACCGAGGAATCGACATCTAAAACACAAAGAATTCTTGCTTGCTTGCTTGCTTTAGTCTAAAGGCAAAAGACAGGGGGCCCTGTTGCTCCTTCAATCTTAAACCCAAACTTCTGAGTCTCAGCACTTTTTATCTTGCAACATAAACCTAAATGACAAACACATAAGATTGCCGAAGGAATTCATGAGGAGAAAAAACCTAGAGAAGAAAATTCAGGCCTCGTTGGTGTAACCATTTCTCATGAGAGTAAGCTCTCTAGTTCTTTGATTTGCTTGGGCTTCTTGCAGCACGAATGAAGAGACTGTCAGAGGGAAAGCAGGATGGCAGAGACTTCTCTGGTGAATAGGCCCTCAAGGTGGAATGTGGGGGAAGAAGTGGGAAGGAAATGAGAGAAGAAAAAATACACAAGGAGAAAGGTTCCTCCTAAGAGGGGAGGGAAGTGTTAACCTGCCCTGAAGAGAGTTTATAATTTTAACTATATCCTTTTTGACAATACCCTGAATCTAGTTTTTAAAATTGGACATATTAGATACTTATGTTCTGCCTACTACTGTAGCATGATTCTTACTACTTCAGCCTATGAGTGAGCAAGTATCCAGTGATCATATGAAAACCATAACTATTTTAAAATGCAACAAAAAGTGCCAAGTATAACTGATTAGAAAAACTGATGTATTTATTTTCCTGTTTCAATAAACATGTCTACTTTCAGTTCTAACCTTGCCACCAGTGTCCTACCCTTGAGAGAGAATCAGATTTCAAACTCAGGCAAACAGGTTCCATCCATGAGTTCCCATAACAATAAAGGGATTGAAGATGTCCAGAAAAAAAAAAAAAAGTGTGTGTGTGTTTCTAGAGTTAAGTTGTAGGTTGAAAAGTTTTAAGAAATAAAAACCAACTGAACTTGAGAGAGGAAGAGAGAGATACCATAAAATAAATGACAATGAAACAAAGGAGAGCTCAAGCAGACCAAACAACTATTAAAAAAACAAGGAAAAAAGTCCATTAATGAATGAGAAAAATAAATTGAAGTGAGATAAATGAAAAGTCATGGGACTAATGAGAAATACTAGATGCAAATTATAAACAAACCATCACCATGGAAAAGCATAATAGAGGTAATAAATAATTCAAATTGTAGACACTGCAATAGAAGATAAGGAATACAGCATTGACTAGTAGCCATTAAGAGCTTATAAGTTCCAGTGGGAAGGTTAGGGAGAGGTGGGGGAGATAGATCAACCGAAGGACTTGTATGCATGCATATAAGCATAACCAATAGATGCAAAACTCTGGGGGGTGAAGGCATGTATGGGGTAGGGGGGATGCAATTGTAAGATATGTACACATATACCAGTAATACCTTAATAAAAAAATGAAAGCACTTTTAAATGGCATGTATAATGCCAGATATAGATTTATTCTATCCATATTTGCATCCTTTGCACCCAGTTAATGCTGAGATATAGCAGGCCACGAATATTTGCTGAATAAATGAGAGGTTGGCAGATGACTTAAAATGATGTAACTCAAATCAGTCTATTATCACCTATCCTCTACCTCCTCCCAAATTAGTTTACTAGACTACTCCATCTAAAATGTCATTTCATGAGATTAGATGTGGTATGATTTGTTATACAGTGATAGTAAATGGACAATCTTATAGCAGTATAAACTCAAAAAACTCAGAAAATGACCTTTGAATTTAATTATCTACATAAGTGTGGATACAGGCACACATGAATACTGACCTAGTAACAGCTTAGCAGCCTATAAATGTAAGGGACCAATAGTAAAGGTTTTTCTTTACAACTTCTTTGAAAGGTTTATCATTATTTTCTTTCAAGAGTCAATTTTAACTGTTACAATTATATATTTTTTATTTTTATTTTTTTAATAAACCTTTATTGTTCATAGTATTACAAAAGTTCCTCATTTTTTCCCCCTCCACCAGGTTCCTACCCCACTCTCTGCCCTTTCCCCACCTTCCATTGTCCTCATCCATAGGTGCACAGTTTATGTTCAGTCTCTTCCCACACACTCCACTTCTCTCTTCCCTGAGAATCATCAGTCCATTCCCCTTCCATACCTCTGATTCTATTATATTCAACAGTTAATATTGTTCATCAGGTTTTTTAATTCCCTTGGTTTTTAGATTCACTTGTTGATAGTTATGTATTTGTTCTTCATAATCTTTATCATTATTTTCTTTCTCTTCCGAAAGAACCTCCTTCAGCAATTCATATAATTCTGGTTTGGTGGTGATGAACTCCTTTAGCTTTTTTTTTATTAGTGAAGCTCTTTATCTGGCCTTTGATTCTGAGTGATAGCTTTGCTGAGTAGAGTATTTTTGGCTATAGGTTCTTGCTATTCATCACCTTGAATATTTCTTGCCATTCCCATCTGGCCTGCATGGTTTCTGTTGAGAAATCAGCTGACAATCGTATGGGTGCTCCTTTATAGGTAACTACCTGTTTCTCTCTTGCTGCTTTTAATATTCTCTCTTTGTCTTTTGCTCTTGAAATTTTAATTATGATGTGTCTTGGTGTGGTCCTCTTTAGATTCCTTTTGTTTGGGGTTCTGTGCGCTTCCTGGACTTGTAGGTCTATTTCTTTCCCCGGGGGGGGAAGTTTTCTGTCACTATTTCTTTCAGTATGTTTTTGGTATCTTGCTCTCTCTCTTCTTCTGGGGCCCCCATAATTCTGATGTTGGTTCGCTTGAAATTGTCCCAGAGGTTTCTTACATTATCTTCAACTTTCTGAATTCTCTTGTCTTCTTGCTCCTGCAGAGGAGTATCTTCTGGCTCTTTATGTTCCAAATCTTTGATTTGATTCTTGCGATCTTCCATTCTGTTTTTAGGACTTTGTATAATATTTTTTATTTCAGAGAATGTATTCTTTATTTCTTATTGATCCCTTATTATTTCTAGTTGATCCCTTTTCATATCCTCATAGGTCTTATTGACCTTTTCTAGGAAATTCTTGAAAAATCTTATGAGCGTGGTTTTGAACTCTATATCCAGTCGCTTTTTGTCCTCCATTTCTTTCCTTTGTGATTTGTTTTCTTGTCTCAGCATTTTCACAGCTTCCCTGAGTTGGTAGCCTTAAAAGTCTCTGTGTCCAGCTTGGATGGGGCAGAGTTTCAGGGTGGAGCCTACAGTCTTGGCTTCTGTCGGCCACACCCTATGAGGCTCCTAAGTCTCAGTATTCCTCAGGGTCCTTCAGTACTCATTGCAAGCACCTCTGAGAGAAAGGCGCCCTTGAGTTTCGCCTGCTACCAAACAGTCTAGGCTCTCCCCCAAGGAGCCCGGAACTGGAGTTCAATACAGTTGAAAGTGGGGTTGGAAGTGGAGTTCAGAGCAGTCTGGAGCCCCTGTCTCCCTCCCACCAGGGCAATCCAGCGGCACAGTCAACTGCCTGTTCTCTGCATGCAATGTGCGCCCCTCTGGGACTTCCTTTCGCCGCTCCCCTTACAGCCCAGGCTCCCTCTGTATGAGCCTGGATCCCCAGAGTCTGGCCTAGAACTGGGGTTCAGTGCAATCGGAACTGAGGCTTAGCACAGTCTGGAGCTTTTATCTCCTTCCCGCTAGGGCAATCTAGCAGCAGAGTCAATGGTCCGTCCTCTGCGCTTAATGTGCACGCCTCTTTGGGCACTGCCTTTCACCGCTCCCCTAAGATTCTGCCTAACAGCCCAGGCTCCCTCTGTATGAGCCTGGGTCCCCAGGGTCTGGCCTAGAACTGGGGTTCAGTGCTGTCGGATCTGGGATTCAGCACAGTCCAGAGCTTTTATCTCCCTCCTGCTAGGGAATGCCAGCCAGGCACTTGGCCTCCCCCTCCTCTCCAGCTCCGTCCTCTCCACGCGCACAACGTGTCTCAGTATCTTAGGCTGTTACAGCTCCTCTTGATTTTCCTTCTGGTTTTCTCCTTGCTTCTCGTTGTAGAATTTCCAGTCAGTCGGCTTTCCTGTAGCTCTGGGTGATGTGCATTTTGTACTTTAGTTGTATTTTATTGAAATTGTTGTGTGCGGCTGCGGTTAGGTATTTCCTATGCCACCATCTTGGATTCTCCCAGGCCACTTCTTAAACACTCCGGGCTACATCCACCCTCTGTGCCTGTGCACTGGCTGTTCCTATTACAATTATATTTTTAAAAATTAGCTTTACTTTTTCTTCTTGACTCAAGCAGCATTTTGAAACTGGGCAAAGTAATTTGTTAGCTCCAAACTAATGGTTATTTTTCACTTATTTTAGCTTGGTGGTTTTTCATGTTGGTGATTTCCTACACCTTTATTAGTTTAATGAATTTTTACTACAAGATGGAAAAGACTATCGATAGTCTTTTAAATTACTGGTGAAGATCCCATTATTGAGTCATGAATTTGGCTTACTGAATAATGACTGGCAATGTTTTTTAAAACTAAAATAGGTGGTCTAAATCTGAGAGCTATTACAGTTGAAAGGCTAAAATATTAACTAATTAAAGAAAGATATTAATATATGTCAGCAATGGCCATTCTGGTTTTAATATAATTGGTCTGAAGCTCATTTTAACCATAATTAAATAGTAGGGACTACTTCCCTAACGGCTTCACTGTAATCCTTAGATCTTCTCATGCTTACATGTCTGTGTGGTTAGGGAATGCCACTTTGCTTCTCAAGACAGATGAATATCTTACCATTTGTTGGTTGTGGAGAGAAAAAAAGGGGGGAGGAGGGGAAAGGATATAAAAGGATTAAGAGGAAATTTCAAAGGGAAATGGAAAATAATTTTATGTTCAGAACTATTTGAGAGTTTGGCGATTCCTGAAGCTTTTCACTATCAATTTTTCCAACAATAAAAAATAATAGACGAAAAAGAACCTACATCTATATGTCAATATGTTCCTTCAATTTTTGTTATAACTGTTTACAAACTTATCATTTAGAACCAAAATATAAAACATTATCTTTCTAAATGCTTTCTTATGGATCCCAAAGGTTTCACATTCAAGGGGGAAAAGTTACCATTACTGTAATACCTGACAAAATGTTTTGAGCCACTTTCTCACTCCATTCAGGTAATTCCTTTACTTTTTCTTCTGCAACTGGCTCATATGGTACCATGTGACTCAGATTGACTTCTTCACTTGAAGTACCTTTACCCTAAATAGTAAACATGTTTCAAATGTGAAACAGGTAAAGTACTAAGAGGGAAAAATTATTAGTCTTATGTAATAAAATATTAAACCAACAAATATTAGATATAATTAATGAAATACCTCCAGTCAAACTAGTTACCAGTACATTTTTATAATATATAAAGTGCAATACCATAACTGTCATGAAGTTGAAAACTTTCTGGTCTTTTATTTAATCCCAGTGGTAAGTAAGATTTAAAAACCAATGTACCTCCAATACAGCATTTATCAAATCATATTTAAAATGACATTTTTCTTTTCTTGACTAACTATGAGTTCCTTCATTCTGCTATCAACCCTTAGATATTAATATGTATATGGTACTCAGTAAGGTTAGAAGATTTCTGTTAAATGACTCAATCAGTGAGGAAGGATGTATCCAAATAAACTGGTTTTGACAGAAATCAAGAAAAAGCAAATAAAAATATATAAACACAAACAACCTACCATTAAATTTGAATAAAAATGGGAACACAGAAATACCTGTACTTTGATAATTCAACAGTTATGAGAACAAGAGCCAACACTCAAAATTTCAAAGCTAAATTTATTCATTCTATGAACTTAGAAGCAGGATAACTCAGATCTTATAACTTAAAAATCAAACTTCTCAACAGAAATAAAAAGAGAACTTCATTTATTTTTTTTTAATATATTTTATTTTTGATATTTCCCCCCCCCCCCCCCCGAGAATTTCATTTAAAATAAAAACTTCTACACAGGCAAAAAGCCACTCATAAGTAAAAACTCCCAACTGCTTCCCACATCAGCAATATGCCCACACTTATTTCTGAGGCCAGATTGTACATTTGAGAGAAAGTACAACCTAGCTTTCTATACAATTTATGTACCTTCATCTAATAATCACATTAGACAGAAGTTATCTCTTTGCTAACTTGTCCTCCCCACTAAATGGTCAATTACTTGAGATGAGAAATTTAAACTTTTCCAGTATGCTCAACATTCTAGCACTTAATATTTACTAACTTTAATCCTGATGTACCACTTACAGCATAGTAGAGGCCCAGTGCACGAATTCATGCACCATGGGGTCCCTCAGCCTAGTCTGTGGGATCAAGCCGAAATCGGCTCTCTGATATCCCCCAAGAGGTCCCAGATTGCAAGAGGGCGTAGGGCAGGCAGAAGGACCCCACTTGGTGCATGATCGTGGCCAGGGAGGGAGGCGGGCGGTTGGCCAGCCAGGAAGGGACCGTGGGAGGACTCTAGGGCATGTCCAGCCCGTCTTGCTTAATCATGATTGGCTGGACCCCAGCACAAGCTAACCTACCAGTTGGAGCATCTACCCCCTGGTGGTCAATGCACGTCATAGCAAGCAGCTGAAAGGCCTTAACATATCATTAGCATATTATGCTTTTATTATATAGGACCATCCATGAATAAATAAGGAACTGAATAAAAATGGCAGTCTAAGAAAAAGCATACCTAGCTCCAAGATCTCGGTGTATATAGGAAGGTGGAAAATAACACAAAACAAAAAAAGTATGTGCATCATTAAGGTAAACATAAAAATCTTTCATAGTTGAAAAAAACACACCTATCTCTCAAAACATAGAATATCTTTTAAAGCACTTTAAGTAACAAACATTTGGAAAGGAAAATATTAAAGCTGCTAATAATGTTTAGTAGTAATCACTTTGTAACTCTACAAGTTATGTGTGTTTTTTGTTTGTTTGTTTTTAGTAAATGGGGATAAGATCTTATAAATAATTGAAACTGGTTAAAGGTACCTTTGATTAGAACACATAAACAGACTTCATTGCTCTTTTACTTAATTTACTTACCTTTTTACCCCGTTTTCCTTTATGACGTACATCCTTAATACCTTGGTCCAAAGAAGGATCCAACTGACCCACATCAGAACCACTGGCTTCTTTTAGTTGGTCAGAGGGGCATCTTACTCTGCCAGGGATTTGGAATTCATTTTCTCCTTCAGCCTGGTTCCAGTTTGCCTAGGAAGTAAAGGACTAAGATTAGCTCAAATCCTACTTTTTCTAGATGACTTTCCTCTAAGATATGATAGTACAACATGATCTAAAAATACAACTGGTCAGATGTCAGTGTTTGACAGTCTTATTTTAAATACAACTATTTCTGTTTGTCTTTCCCCTATACTTCAGTTTTATTTCATTACCAAACCTCAAACCTTTTTTTTTATAAATATATTTTATTGATTTTTTTACAGAGAGGAAGGGAGAGAGATAGTCAGAAACATCGATGAGAGAGAAACATCAATCAGCTGCTCCTGCACAATTCCCACTCAGGATGTCCCGCAACCAAGGTACATGTCCTTGACCGGAATCATACCTGAGACCTTTCAGTCCACAGGCCGACACTTTACCCACTGAGCCAAACCAGTTAGAGCAAACCTCAAACCTTTGAGTTTGTTAGTTCATAGCATGTGACCTAAGTCAAATTTCAAAAAACCAAGAATAAAATATTTACATCACTTTGTTGGTATAAGCTATCATAAAGTCAGATGCAACTACATGTGAATTTAATTACATAACTAATACGTTTTAGGAAACATATATAAGACTAAATAAGTTTAAAGCCAATTAACAAAACTCATGTCCAATTTAACTGAGTTGTTAGAAAGCTAATTGCTGATTTTTAAAAAAGGGGTGGTTTTTTTGTGGGTTTTTTTTTTTTTTTTTTTTTTTTTTTTTGCACTAAAGATATTCTGCTAGCATACATTTTGCTGAATGAATACTCAAAGACTGAAAAAGACAGGTCAAAATTATTGCTGGTAACTAACTTCTATTTACAGTTGGAGTTTTGGGACAACAGAAAAAACAATAAACCACATGCAACCAAAAAATAAAACTCAACAGAGATAAATATGTAACCTAAAAGTCAATTTAATTTCTTTTATAAAGCCCCAGTAATATAGAGCCTATGAATGTAAGGGTGAAGAGAAAAACAGCTCCATCACTGGTCTAGAGTTCTAAATATTGTCATTTAATTCTGCTAGTAAACAATAAAGCTAAGACACTCATATACATTTCACCATGTTCCTGCCTTTGTAAACTCCTCTCAATGGCACACAGTCTATCCACACTTCTATGGAGATTATGTTTCCTTAACATAGATTAAATGTTTAGCATTGACTATGATAAAGTATATGTTGATCACCAGGTCATTTACATTTATACAACTTAATGATGAGATGACTCTCTACCCTTTTACTTAGCTGGTGAACTGCTCCCATTTATCTTTGATATTTTAAATATAGGTATAATAGTAATTTTTAAAAATGTGTTCTACTTCCTAAGAAAACAGGAACAAATCTTTCAAAACTTAAACAAAAGTGAACGATAGTTGACCTTTGAACAACACAGGTTTCAACTGGTAAGTTACTTTTATGTGCATTTTCGTCAATAAATACTGTAAATGAACTTCTGGCCAAGATGGTGGAGTAAGTAAACACTGTGTTCATCTCCACTCTTGCCTACATCAAAATCATAACTAAATTGCCCTGGTCAGTATTCTCAGTGGTTAGAGCATCGGCCCATGCACCAAGGGCCTCAGGTTCAGTTCCTAGTCAAGGGCACATACTTGAGTTGCAGGTTTGATCCCCAGCCCCAGTCAAGGCCCATGTTGGAGACAACCAATCAATGTGACTCTCTCACATCAGTGTTTCTCTCTCTTTCTTTCTCTTTCCTTTCTTTCTCTCTCTTTCAACCAATCAATGTGACTCTCTCACATCAGTGTTTCTCTCTCTCTCTCTCTCTCTCTCTTTCCTTTCTTTCTCTCTCTCTCAACCAATCAATGTGACTCTCTCACATCAGTGTTTCTCTCTCTCTCTCTCTCTCTCTCTCTCAACTCTAACTCTCTCTGAAAATCAATGGGAAAATATCCTCAGGTGAGGATTTAAAAAATAAAGTTACAACTAAATTATAGAACAGCAACCTTGAGAACCACCTGAAGACTAGCTGAACAAAATGCCTATAACTAAGGATATAAAAAAGAAATGTCGAGACTGGCAGGAGGGATACAGATTCAAAATGGGCTGGTCCCACACCCACATGTGGAGGTTGAGAATCAAGGAGAAGTATCTCAGGTGTGGAGGCTACTCCTGAGAAGCAAGAGGTCCCCACAATAGCTGGCTGTGAAAATCAGTGAAGATTAGACCCAGGCATGTTAAACAGCCTGGGTACAGATAGACAAACATTCGCCCTAAGCTCCGACAAAGGGGCAGCAGCTTGAAAAACACCAGGAACATACAGGGAAGAATCGAATTGTCTGGCTTCAGAACAAGGGCTACAGGGGCAGCTTTCTCCCAGACAGAAGTGCTGGCATTGCTACCATTGTTCCTTAGCTTAGCCCTCTCCCACAATAGATACCATATCTAAGTCTCTAATAAGCCGAATAACACCTTTCTTCCTCATGCTTCTCTGAGATCCTGCCCCACCCAAATCTTGCACCTCTTGAGGTTCTTTCAGCAATTGCTCTTCACAAGTGGCTAGCCTCTGCCTGTACTGCAGATTTCCCTAAAATCTCTCAAAGGTCCATAAGCCCCAAATAAGTAGCAGATGGCCTCAGTGGCCCTGTACCTCTTGCTAAGTGGCCCCAAGCCTGGCCACTGGTGGCAACTAGCCTGGGGTTGCAGCATAGCCTTTCATAAGCCCCTCCCAAGCCCAGCACAAGCAGTTACCAACAACAGAAAACTGTCTTCCTCCTACTAGATAGCCCTGGACTAAGCACAAGCAGCAACTGACTGGAAATTACCAGAGTCCCCTGGAAAAGGCCCCAGAACCAACAAATCTGGTGGATGGCTTCAAAACAAACCAGAGCAATACCCAATTAGCATTACAAACAATACACCTATAGACTGAACTCTGCAGACACCAGAGGTCAGATACAGCAAATTCTGCTCTGTAGGATCACATTCCAGCACAAAAGCTGGTCAACTGTTGTCGTGGCCAGTCCTCACAGTCAGCCAGCCTCAGGGTCAATCTGAACCACTGGGTTAATAGCAATCAAGGCTCAACTACAACTGGAGAGTACACAACCTACAAAAATGACAACCCCACTGGCTCAAGAAAGCAGAGAGGCTGTGCAACTGGGACCCAGAGGACAACTGATACTACAAAAGGTGACTCTACAAGACTGGATGACACAGATATACCTAACTTACAGAAGCAAATACAAGAATGAGGAGACAAACAAACATGTCTCAAATGACAGGAAAGGAAAAAACTAGAAAAAGAGCTAAACAAAATGGAGGGGAGATAGGAACCAAGATGATGGAATAGGTAAATGCCTGTACTTGCCATCTCCCACAACCACATCAAAATGACAATTAAAATACAGGACCACCACCATTCAGAATTGTCTGAAAACTGGCTGAATGGAAGTCTCACAACTAGAGAAGTAAATAGAAAGCACATTGAGATTGGTAGGAGGAAAGGAGGTGCAGGATGGGCTGGTCCAACACCCATGTGTGAGGTTTTTTAACTGGAAGGGAGATCATCTCTGCAGAGGCTACTCTTGAGGAGCAAGGGGTCCCAGTCCCACACCAGACCCCCGGCCCAGGGTTCCAGAGGTAGGAAGACAAGTCCAGGTGTAAAAATCAGTGGGACTTATGGTTGGTGGACATGGAGGCTGCCAGAGACCCATGTGTCCCTCTGAAAGGGCCAGCACATGAATTCACTCAGATTTGAACCCTCTGAGCCAAGAGGCATTAGGAGATTCAGACACATACAGGGAGAAACTGGATTGTCTGGCATCAGGGCAAGAACTTGAGGGTAGTTTTCTCATAGACAAGAGTGCTCACAGGGGTCATTATTTCTGGCCTGGGATCTCTCCTGCAGCACTGTTGACTGGCAGCCATATATGAGTATCCATCAGCCGGGAGCATACTGGTTCCTCCACCCTGGTGACTCCCTGAGACCCTACCCCATCAAATTTGCAGCCCCACCCAAGCTGTTTGCAGTAACTCTTCCGTATGAATGGACTGTCCTGGCTCAGGCTCTAGACTTTGCTAAAATCTCTCAAACAAGCCACAACAGGTATCAGCATGACCCAACCCTATCAATAAAAAGCACAAGAACCAGCACTAGTACCAGTGAGCCTTGCTTCACAGGTGGGCCTCAATAATAGCCATCTGTAGATCCCTCAAAGTCAGTGGCTGACTTTGGACCTCCCTGGAGGTCCTAGAGCCCATTAACCTGATGGACAGCTTCAAACCATATCGATTACACTTTATATATACACAAGTGACACACTCAAGGCAGACTCAATGAGCACCAAAGCTCTACTGAAGCAAGTCCCGCTCCATAAAGGTGTTTCCTGCACTGCAACTCTACCACTGTAGTTGCAGCTGGTCCTTACAGCCAATTAGCTTGGAGGTCAATTCCTCCCAATGACACAAACAGCAATCAGATTTCAGAGCTACAGAGGGTAATTATCAGCCAGTGGTTTGTATTTTTTGATCAAACCTCACTCAAGGGTGTATTTTTTGGAGTTTTCTTTTCTTTTCTTAGTCAATCCTCATCCAAGGTTACTTTTTCCATTGATTTGTAGAGAGTGGGAAGGAGGGAGAGAGACAGAAAGAGAAACATTGATGTGAGACATATATTGGTTGCCTCCTGCATGCTGGGATTGAGCCTGCAACCGGGATATTTGCCCTTGACCAGAATCAAATCCACAACCCTTAAGTCTGCAGGCCAATACTCTAACCAATGAGCCTAACCAGGTAGGGCTGGCCAGTGATTTTCATAGGAGGAGGTAGGCTGTCATTGATGAAGATTTGCTCATTCTTTGTCAGGCAACCTTCTGTGACCCCTCACCTGGGTTGATGCTCTCTGAATTCTCGTTACCCAGATGCATATCTTTACCTTGCACTTAGTAGATTGTTTTGGGATTATCATTTCACATACATGTACCTTTGGCTGAATTGCAAGCATTTTTTTAAAAAACAAAACAAAAAACATTTTATTGATTTTTTTAGAGAGGAAGGGAGAGAGATAGATAGTTAGAAACATCGATGAGAGAGAAACATCGATCAGCTGCCTCCTGCACATCCCCTACCGAGGATATGCCTGCAACCAAGGTACATGCCCTTGACTGGAATCAAACCTGGGGCCTTTCAGTGAGCCAAACCAGTTTCGGCTGCAAGCATCTTAAGCAATAGGTATGACCCCAAGCTGACTGAGTGCTACATCCTAGGTACCCAGCGCAGAGCCCAGAAAGTAGTGGACAATTAATATTTGATAAATGAATGAATGGATAATAGATATAGACTCTAAAATCTTAATTGCTGCAATAAAGCAGGATGTAAAATTCAGTGTGTGGCTTCATGTCATCTTGTGATCTGAGATGCAAGCCAAGCCAAATGAATTGTTAAGATCATGGTTTGCCTTTATAAATGGCCTCTCAGCCAACCTCACATAGAGTAGGTCTCTCAGCAATCTTTTAACATGAGTTCATATACCATCACTGAACCAATGGGTCACCTTCAAGTCTTTGTTTTAACATTACCTTCTCAATGAGGCCCCCTCTGATCACCCTATTTACAGTTGCACCTGTCCCACCTACACCAGAACTCCTTTGTTTCCTGTTACCCTACTCTCCATTTTTTCCCATAACTCTTTAACTCATTCTAATGTGTTATATACTAACTAGAGGCCCAGTGCACGAAATTCATGCATGGGGCTGACAGGGGGGTGGGGGGAAGGGTGTCCCTCTCCAATCTGGGACCCTTCAGAGGATGTCCAACTGCCAGTTTAGGGGATCGGGCCTAAACTGACAGTCGGACATCTCTCTCACAATCCGGGGACCACTGGCTCCTAACCACTCGCCTGCCTGCTTGCCCCTAACCGCTTCTGCCTGCCAGCCTGATTACCCCCTAACCACTCCCCTGCTGGCCTGATTGATGCCTAACTGCTCCCCTGACAGCTTGATCACCCATAACTGCCCTCCCCTACCAGCCTGATTGCCCCCAACTGCCCTCCTCTGCTGGCCTGATCACCCACAACTGCCCTCCCCTGCCGTGACCTGTCTCCTCCGTACCACACAGAACCGCAGGACCCCCAGGCCCCACCTCCATTATGCATGTGGCCATCTTGTGATGGCCATCTTGTGATGACATGAGGGCGTGACGCCACCTAGGCTATTATTAGTATAGATTTGCTTATATGTTCACAAATTCAAGTTTGGAATTTACTGTAAATAGTGACTAAGATTGTAAATTCTAGAGTAAAACTGCCTACACTTATGTTAAACTAGATTTTCATCCTGAAGACAATCATACAAGTTACCTGGAGCCGAAGGTCAGACATTTGTCTTAACAGATCTTCAAAGAGTTCTCTATCATCTTCTGGTAATTCAGAAGACAAGACGACCCCCACAAAGCATCCTGACGCTTGTAACATTGTATCAGGAAACATGTAGGCTCCTACAGTACATTTAAGAACTGGAGATCTATCCGGAACTAGAGGGTACAACCAGTCACAAACCTGAAAGGATTAGTTAAAAAGAAAAAAAGAAAAAAGTCAATGAACAGAACTAGGTTTTCACCAAGGTTTTAAAATTGTTATACCGGAAAGCAAACATTTCAAAGTTTGAAATGCATCTTTATAGAACCATCAGCATCAACAAGTCCCCAATAAAAATTAGCCATTTATTAGTCTAATCTTCTGGCAAACTATTCACAAGAACTATACTAAAAATGTTACTGCTCCGCTCTTTATATAATCTTAAAACTGGTGGCTTTAAATAACCCACTGTTAACCAATCATGAGTCTAACTTATTAAATAAACAATGGTCAAAGTAAATTAATGTTTTCTTTATCATATAAATTAGATATTCCTTTGTAGAAATAAATAAAATCAAACTGTTTTCAAGTACTCTACATGTACTTACTGATTTATTCCTCACACCAATTCCATTAAGTTGGTTAGTATTGGTTAACTGAAATAATTATTTTAATTAAAAACTCAGCATTCTAAGAGAACCTAACATGACAGAGACTAAACAAAACACTAGAGTTATGTTTATTGGATTTACTACTGGGAACCATGAGAAAGAAGATACCTACTACAGAGGGCTCCTGGTGGCTAACTAGGCTCAAATTAAAAAAAAAAAAAAAAAAAAAAAGCCAAGCAGCCATTTCTGTACAGGCCTCTCATGCAAACTGTAATTTAGGGAGAAGCCTGCACCAAGCAGCCTGCCTCTTGCACTAAATTGCATTCCTGCACTCTGTTCCTGGCATAGTCTGACAGGTCTTATAAAGGAGTTCCTGGAATTCTATTTCAACCAGTACTACTGAGGCTTTCTCCATCCAATAGGAGCTGTGCAGCTACAGCCCTTCTCCATTCTAACCAAAGCAGGGCAGTGTTTTCTGGTCCAACCAAACTTAAAGGTTGGAATCATCATTTGCTTGAGTACAAACCAGAGGCAGTAACTTTGATCTATGTTAGGCAGCTACCCTCTGGCTCTAGGAATGCTTTGTTTTCCACCAAAGATTAAAGGTGGAGCAGACCACCAGAGGGCAGAGCAGAGCTATCTAGTTTGAGAGGGGCCTGGCTCTAGGCCACCTAATAGCATTGCTGTTTTCACAGCCCTTGCTGTGTCAAAACTGAGCTATTTGAACTGAATAAATTTCCTTCTTTACTGCATCCCAAACTAGGGATTCCTGTTGGCCAACAATGTTCATTTGACACTATCTATTGTGAAGTAAAATTAAAATGACATAAAGCTGCCCTGCAAAGTCAGATTGTCAGTACACTATTTGAGACTTAAGCTCTAAATTCAAAAGAGACTATTTTAATTTGGAATAACCAAATTTATTCATTTCCATTGAGATACATTATTTGAGTGACCAGAATATAATTGTGCCCCTCATCCAGGACATGGCTCTGACATTAAAAAAAAGAAACTTGCTAGAACAATCTATTAAATGTGATGAACATAAGTCAAAGAGCACAAAAGATTTCATATAAACAGATAGAAAATTCTAGCACACTCTCACTATTTCTGACCAACAGAATATAAACAAACAGGGATTCGAGTACTCAGATGTGACTCTTTCCCGGAAAGTACTTAATAAACATGTTCAAAATCTTTTTCTTTTTTAAATACACTGAGAGGCCATATTATTATGATCTCTGAACACATAACAATCTGGCCACTCAGTATATATCCTATATAACTATATAATAAAAGGTTAATATGCAAATTGTCCCCTCGACCAGGAGACAGCAGGCAGTCCAGCCAAATGCCCATGTCCCCTCCTCCTGGCCAAGATGGCTGGACCCCACCCATGCCCAAATTCATGCACCAGGCCATGCACAGAGTGGGGGTTCCCTCAGCCCAGCTGCTCCCTCTCACAAGAATGGGAGCCCTCATGGGTAGCAAGCCTAACCCATAGTCTGGCCACCCTCTGTGGGAGGTGACTGGTCTGATCAAGGGAAGGCACCAGCCTCATTACCCCACTGCTACAGCCACTGCCAGCCACTGCAGCCACCAGTGTTTTCATCAACACGGACTCTAGTCCCTTCACTGTGAAAAAATGACAACTTTCTTTAGGCATTTTCAAGATGTGTCTTTCATAGAATATGATACTTTTCTTTTTTTATCCTCACCTGAGGATATTTTTCCACTGATTTTTAGAGAGAGGGAGAGAGAGAGAGAAACATCAATATGAGAGGGACACTTTGATTGGCTGCCTCCTGCGTGAGCCCTAACATGGGCCCTGGCTAGGGAGGAGCCTGTTACCTAGGTATATGCCCTTGATCAAAATCGACGGGACCCTGCGATCGGAAGGCAGAGGCTCTATCCACTGCACCAAACTGACTAGGGCAGAATATGATATTTCTTAGCCCTTCCAACATCGGACCTTTGTTTTTTCCTCCAGGAGTGAGGTGGAAAAACCCTAGATCACCTTTTTGGATTCTTATTACCCAAGTTTCCAAGAACACTGCAAGTGGCAGCATACAGGGAGCTTAGCCAATGAGCGGTCAGAAAAGATATTTACTCTCAAACTGGTTTGGCTCAGTGAATAGACCATGGGCCTGCAGACTGAAGGGTCCCAGATTTGATTCCTGTTAAGAGCATATACCTTGGTTGGACGCATATCCCCAGTGGCGAGTGTGCAGGAGGCAGCTAACCTATGTTTCTCTATCATTGATGTTTCCGACTATCTATTCCTCTCCCCTTGTCTCTGTAAAAAAAAAAAAAAAAAAAAAAAAAATCAATTAAAAAAAAATATATATATATATATATTTTTTTTTAAGTGTTTCCTCTGTAGCTCATGGGGCAGAGGATCCTGTACGTTGTGTCCACTGGACTAGGGACATGTCCCCACCACCTCGGGGGGTGGGGGGGAGGGCGGGGGGGAGGCATGCTCCTGAGGCTGGCAGCCAGCCCCACATCTTGGGTCTTGGAAGCTGGACTGGGGGATCTGTGGAGACCCCGGGCCATGCGGCATCAGCCACCGAGGCCTCCACACGCCCCCAAGGCCAGCATTCAGCCCTGCTTAGTGGGCACTGGGCTGGGGGGGCATGAGGGAGGCCCCTGGGCCTCCTGCGACAGTGGCCACCGGGGTCTCCACACACCCAGGGCCAGCAGCCAGCCCCCCATAATAGGCGCTGAGCTGGGGCGAGTGAAGCTGAACCACTGCTTGGGATCAGCGCATGTGCAAGCAACTGGGGGCGGGAACATCCTTGTCTCTACATGCCTGCGCCGTGGGTGCCAGGCTGGAGGGCATGTGGGGACACCTGGGCCACAGACTCCAGGGTCTCCGCATGCACCAGAAGCCAGCAGCAAGCACCCTGTCGTGGATGCCAAGCTAGGGGCATGGACCCGAACCGCAGCTTGGTGCCAGTGCACACCCAAGCGGCTGCACCCATAGGCCCAGACCAGTTGAGGGGCATTGTGGGACCCCTGCTGCTCAGGACCTAAGCACAGACCTACAGGGTAGGAGCGGCCTGGAGTCCTAGGATGTTCTAGGGGCCCAGGTGGCTTGGCGCCTGCGTATGCAAATTAACCGCCATCTTTGTTGTGTTAATTTGCATATTCACTTCACATTGGATGGTGAGCGTAGCAGAAGTAACGTCAATTTACATGTTTTTCTTTTATTATATAGGACGTATACACTGAGAGGACAGATTATTATGCATTCAGATATCATAATAACCTGGCCATTCAGTGTATGTTTTTACTGATTTCAGAGAGAGGGAGTGGGAGGGAAATATCAATGATAATAGAGAATCAATGATCAGCTGCCTCCTGCATGCCCCCTGACCAGAAATTCAATGGTGACTGCCTGTTTTATAGGTTGATGCTCAAGCACTGAGCCAGCTGGGCGAATTCTTTTTCTTTTAAGGAATCTCTGTTTTTTCTCTAGTTGTCTCAAAGTCACTGTCCATCTTTTATAAAAGTCAAACTTCAGGCAAGTTACAATAAAACTGATTTTTCCAAAGTATCTATACTAATAAAAGAGAAATATGTAAATTATCATTTCGTGACACCCACCAGCCTATCAGGAGTGAATATGCAAATCAGCAGGACAAAGATGGCAGCAGCCATGGAGCCAGCCAGAGCAAGCAGGAGGCTTGGGTCGCTCCTGGCAATGGAGGAAGCCAAGCTTCCTGCCCACCTCGGCTGGCCACCAAAGGAGGGGCCTGTGGGCAGTGCCATGGAGATAGCCTGAGTGTGTGGGAGGCTTGTGTCACCATCACCGAAGCTGGCCACCGAGGGAGGAGCCTGCAAATGCCCTCAGCCCCTCACCCAGGCTGGCCATGCCACCATCAGGGTGAGAGTCCCTGCTGGGGAGCAAGGCCAGCCTGCAAAAAGCCATCAGCCCCTCATCTAAGCTGGCTACACTCTCCCAGTGGGGACTCTCACCCCATGAGAGTGTGGCTGGCCTGAAAACTGCCCCAGCCCTTCGCCCAGGCCAGCACTGTCCCCAATGGGAACCCTCACCCCAATGGGGGCATGGCCAGCCTACAAACCACCACAGTCCCCTTGCCTAGGCCACCCTGCCCCCCATCCTGATCCGGAATACCCTTCAGGGCAAACCAGCCAGCCCCGACCCGTGCACCAGGCCTCTATCTCTACTAATAGAAGGGTAATATGCTAATTAGACTGGGAGACCTTCCAGGAGACCTTCTGGTCGTTCTTCTACACAGAGCCACGGTGGTGGGGCCGAGGTAGAGGCAGTTAGGAACCAAAAGGGGAGGTGGGTGATCAGGCCAATGGGGGCCGGGGGGACCTATTGGGGGTAAGCAGGCCAGTGGGGAGGGCAAATGTGGACAAGCAGGCTGGTGGGGGAGTCAGTTGAAGGCAAGCAGACCAGCAAGCAAAGTGGTTAGGAGCAATCAGGCAGGTAGGCAGGTAAGTGGTTAGGAGCCAGCAGTCCCAGATTGGAGAGAGTGCAGGCAGGGCTAAGGGACACTGTCCCCATAAATGAATTTCATGCACCGGACCACTAGTGATATATAACCATCTATGGTATATGAAACGACTGCAAGTAATACACAAATTATTTAAATGAGTTATTGTGCATTTTAATATGTATTAGGAAAAAATACATGTTTCCGTCAATTTCACAGTTCTTATTGTTTAGGACAAAATTAACAAATAAGATATCCAAATAAAATATTAAAGTAATAGCAGAGATATGTATTTGACCAATAAAACAGTAAAGATTATACTTAAATGACTAAAGTTTGAATGTTTAGGTTTCTTACTATACCATGATATTCCTCTAATATTAACTACATTCTCATCACCTTGATTCAACTTGAGCATTCCCAAATCTTCTCAAATAAAACACTGCATACATTTCTCAGGGTAAATTATTATGGATTGATGAGCCCTAACAATAATATCACCAGTCTTTGTTCTTGGGCCAAGAATATCTTGGTAAATTTATCTGCTTGGAATATTAGAATTATATTCTAAGTTATCATTAGTCTCTTCTTCTAGATCAGGTTTCTCAACCTTGGCATGATTGATGTTTTAGGTTGGATAATTCTGTTATTGATAGGAGATGCTCTGTTTAAATGTGAATAGTACCCCTAGCCTCTACCTATTACTCCCGCTTTTCAATTATGACAATGAAAATTATTTATAGACATTGTCAGAATACCCCAGGGAAGGAGGAAGGGAGATCACCCCTGGTTAAGATCCATTGTTCTAGACAATGGGCAAAGGTTCAGTCCAGCTCAGCCCCTCAGCTGGAGCTTGGTCTCATTAGTAAAAATTTACTATTATACATCCACGTGTTACACAAATTCCTTTTGAAATTAAAGTTATTAGGTTTCTTCTTCAGATAAAGAATTAAAAATTTAATACCTGTTATAAATTTAATACTAAAATAAAACTATGTTAAAATAAAAAAAGAAAAAGAAAGGCTATCATTCAAAGCTCAAAATTTTCATAAATATATTTAAAAGGAACTATAACTTATAATTATCTTTTTGCACTTACTGTCTTAGACACATTATAAATATTAACAAAAATGATGTACTTTACACATATTTCAAATTGTTTACATTTTTCTTTGTCTTACCTGAAGAAACCCAGGAGGACGGTTGAGAACTGTATCAAGAGAATTATCCAAGAATCTCACAATTCGAAGATATCCAGGATATGAAGGTGCACTAACCTCCCCTGCAGGATTTACAAAAAAAATCTGTACTCCATTTGGTATCAAAATCAACTCATCTGCATCTAGCCCTAAAGTCTCAAGAGGAGGTGGCTGAGAATGATTTCTGTAGAAGTCTTCTCCAACTGATGAAAATTCCCCAGATTCTGTCCCATATGATACAGTATAGTGACCCTCAGCAGCTTGAGGAGTATAAGCAGGAGGTGCTTCTGCTGGATGACTTTGAGATGGTAAGGATAGAGAACTAGGTGCAAAAACTGACTCTGTATTGGTAGCTGAAGTGTTTCCATTTACCTCAGTGGGCTGAGGAGGTGAACTAAAAAACTGAGGTGCCAGTGACTTTTCAGATATGTCTTTAGGTGGAAATTCTGGATATAACTTGGGCACCTCCTGAAGATCATTCTGTAGAGAAGTGGCAAGACCCTTCTCTAGAATTTCCAACCTGGTACGTACATTCTGTAGTGTTTCTTTCATTTTCTGTTGCATCTGCCTAGCAGATTCCCACTCAGGACCTGTATGCTTAGGGTCTGTTGATGAAATGCTGATTCCTCTGAGCAGGTGTCCTATTCCTTGCTTATAGCAGTTCTTTGCTTCTTCCTTCTGACCTAATTCATCTGTATTCAGTCCTTTATTAACAAATAAAAAGGCTTTTTTGTATGCTTCCTTGATGATCTTAATTTCAGCAGGTTCTCCATTTTGTGCCTCTTGCTCCATTTCTGCAAAACAGGAAATTATCTTTAATTATCTTTGGTACTTGTTTACAACTTATATCTTACCTGAATATACACTGAGTTGCCAGATTATTATGATCTCTGAATGCATAATAACCTGGCCACTCAGTGCATATCCTATATATTAAAAGGCTAATATGCAAATTGTCCCTCTACCAGGAGTTCAACCAACAGGCAGGACGGCCAACTGCCTATGTCCCCTCCCCCTGGCCAGGCTGGCTGGACTCCACCCATGTACGAATTCATGCACTGGGCCTCTAGTACATATACAATGAGTGGCCAGATTATTATGCGTTCAGAGATCATAATAATCTGGCCACTCAGTGTATTTCAAGAGAACAGGAGCTTTGCTGTCTTGTTCACTATGGTATTCCCTAAACCTACTATAATAGTAAATCTGACATAGAGAATATGTGTTTAATGGATAAATAAAGAATGCTCTTGGTCCTAAATATCATTTTAATTAAAAACAAAAGAATAAGACAGACTAAAATTACTCAATAATTTTCTTGTTCCAGTTTCTTAGAAGACATAAAAATTTCCTATATCATATCTTTAATATTAGAACCAAAAAGTATCATTCTAAAATTCATTATAATATAAATATAAACTATGTCCAACTAATTTAAAATGAAGTTGAATCATACATTGGAGATTGCAAAAATGAGAAAAAAAAATATCTGGATGAAGCTTGAAAGTTACCTCACTTCCATTTAAAGGTGGCAGGTTACTCACATGCAGTTAAACCCTACTATCTCCCAAAAGTCCATTAAAATCACTCTAACAAAATTATTAAAAAGGCATAGCCATTCTTTTTAATGAGAAAAAGGAATGAATAGGTACTTCATAAAAGAACATATTTAAATGGCATATTTAAAAGGTAATTCTATGAAAAGGTAATTCAACATATTATACCTTCATGGAAATTAAACTAAAATCCACAGCAGTATGACTACACACTTATCAGATGGCTAAGTTGAAAAGACTGACTAATGTTAGAGAAGACAGCAACTGGAACTCTCATACTTTGCTGATGTAAGTAAAATATGGCGCAGACACTTTGGAAAACTGGCCATTTCTATTAAAACCAAATATTTACTCTACCATCCAGCAATTTCCCATCAGTATATAACCAAAATAAATTAATAAATACACACACCCAAAACATGAACAATGATATTCATAGCGGCTTTATTCACAAAAGCCAAAAACTTGAAACAACTCAAATGTCCACTCACAAGAGAAGGGATAAATAATGGTATATTTATATAATGCAGAAACTAAAAAGTAAACCGACAAATTTCACTCACATCATAATTAAAATGTCAAAATTTCAAGACAAAGAGAGAATCTTAAATGCAGCAAGAGAAAATGAAACTGTTACCTACAAAGAAGCTCACATAAGGCTGTCATCTGATTTGTCATCAGAAACTGTACAGGCCAGAAAGGAATGGCATGAAGTATTCAAGGTAATAGAAAACAAGGATCTCAAACCAAGATTACTATATCCAGCAAGGCTAAAATAGATAGTAAGATAAAGAGCATTCCAGACAAGAAAAGTTTAAAGGAGTTCATCACTACTAAAAGAGTATAACAAGAAATGCTAAAGAGACTATTATAATGAGAAGAAAAAAATACAGCAAGAAACCTAGGCATACAGAATTAAAATGGCAATAAACAAGTACCTCTCAATAATAACCACAAATGTAAATGGTTTAAATGCTCCAATCAAAAGGCATAGGGTAGCTGAATGGATACAAAAACATAACCCAACTATATAATGTCTACAAGAGACCTACCTCAGGACAAAGGATTCACATAGGATGAGAGAGAAGAGATGGAAAAAATCTTTTCCATGAAAGTGAAAAAGAGAAAAAAGCTGGGATAGCAACACCCATATGGAGTCACTACATAATACTAAAGGAATCGATCCAACAAGAGAATGTAACCCTGGTAAACATATATGCACCCAATATAGGAGAAGCCAAATATTTTTTAAAACTTGTAAAGGAATATAAGGAAGAGATTAACAATATAGTCATAGTAGGGATTTTAACTTCCAGTGAAGTAAATGACTTCACAGGATAGATCTTCCAGACAAAAAATTAACAAGTAAACAATGACTCTAAAGGACACACTGGATCAGATGAATTTAACTGATACAGAACAATTCACCCCAAGTCTGCAGAATACATATTCTTCTGACATACACATGATCATTCACAAAGATAGATCACATGTTAGGACCCAAAATGTCCAAGAAAATTGAAATCATATAAAATACCTTCTCAAATCACAGTGGAATGAAATTAGAAATCAACTACAGTAAGAACACCCCAAAATATTCAAATACATGGTGGCTAAATATCATGTTATTAAACAATGAATGGGCTACCAATGAGGTCAAGAAATTAAAAACTTCCTGGAAATAAATGAAAATTAAAACACAACCACCCCAAATCTCTGGGGCACAGTGAAAGCAGTCCTGAGAGAAGCTTCATAACACAGGCCTACCTAAAAAAAATAATAATAATAAATAAATAAAAAGAAAAAGAAAGAAAAGAAAAGAAAGAAAAATTAGTAATAAACTAGTTAACTCTACAACTTAAAAAACTACAAAAAGAACAACAATTAAAGCCCATAGTAAGTAGAAGGAAATAATAAAGATTATCACAGAAAGAATTGACCTAGAGAATAAAAAACAATACAAAAAAATGAAAACAAGAGCTGGCTCTTTGAAAGGACAAACAAGATTTATGACTAATAACTGGAATCATAAGAGAGAGCATGTCAGAGAAAACCAATATGGCAGCGTAGGTAAACAACTGATCTGCTGCTCACGCAACAATTTAAAAAATTAAAACTAGGAGGATCCAAGATGGCTGCTCAGGTAGACACCTAACCGCAGCAGCACACAACAATTTCAATGGAATACAACTACAATGTAGAGTGGACATTGCCCAGAGCTACAGGTAGTCGACTGACTGAAAATTCTACAACAAGAAGGAAAGAGAAAACCAGAAGGAAAATCAGAGGAGCTGAAAAAGCCTAAGGTACGGAGACATGCTGCGCACATCATGCTGCGCACGCACGCGCAGAGAGGACGCAGCCGGAGAGAAGGAGAAAGCTGGGTGCCTGCCTGGCAGGAAGGAAATAAAAACCCCGGCCTGGGCTGAACCCCAGAACTGGCAGCGCTGAGCCCCAGTTATGGGCCAGACCCTGGGGACCCAGGCTCGAGCAGGGGGAGATAGGGCTGTGAGGCGGAATCTCAGGGGAGCGGCGAAAAGCAGAGCCCACGGAGTCGTGCACATTGCGCACAAGGGAAGGAATGTTGACTCTGATGCGGGATTGCCCTGGAGGGAAGGAACAGGAGCTGCGGCCGTGCTGGGCACCAGTTTCGACCGCTCTGAACCCCCGTTCTGGGCTAGACCCTGGGGACCCAGGCACAGACAGGGGGAGATGGGGCTGTGAGGCGGAATCCCAGGGGAGCGGTGAAAAGCAGAGCCCACGGAGTCGTGCACATTGCACACAGAAGACGGAATGTTGACCCTGATGCTGAATTGCCCTGGCGGGAAGAAACAAAACCTCCGGCGGTGCTGAGCCCCACTCCCAACTGCTCTGAACCCCAGTTCTAGGCCAATCCCTGGGGACCCAGGCTCAAGCAGAGGGAGACGGGGCTGTGAGGTGGAGTCCTGGGGGAGCGGCGAAAAGCCGAGCCCCCGGAGCCGCGCACGTTGCGCGCAGAGGACAGTGTGTTGACTCTGATGCTAGACGCCCCTAGCAGGAAGGAGAAAAAAAGCTCCAGATTGGAGGAACGCGACGAGGAGCAGGAACCCCTGCCAGACACCGGCCAGCCAGGCGCCAGCAAGGAGCTGGGTGATGGGGCCCCTGGGGGGGGGGGTGCCCCTGGGCCTTCGAACGCTGAGTGCGGGCCACAGAGCCGAGGCCGGGGGCTGCTTCCTGGGCGGTGCCGACCCCTGCAACAGGCTGAAGCAGCACAGGAGCCCGCGGAGAACAAACCTGCTGAGCTCCCAGAACAAGGAGGAAGAAACCAAAGAAGTTTTCAATGTGAAGAAATCAAGTGAGAGCAAAAGATAGTAAAATTACTTAAGAAAGAATACAAAGAAGATCTTGAAAAATTGAAGACTAAGTCAGAACTCAGCAGCCAACATTGCAACATAAATGCGTTTAAAAAAAAAAAAAAAAAAAAAAAAAAAAAAAAAAAAAAAAAAGGACAGAATGTTGAAACGGTGGCGGCCAGGCCTAGAAAGGCCAGGTACAAGGCAGTGGCTGCTGGGCCTGGAGCAGCAACAGCCAGGCCCCAGAGCAGCAGCAGTCAGAACCAGAGCAGCAACAGCCAGGCCTGGAGCAGCCAGATCTGGGGCACTGGCAGCAGGCCTGAGGCGGAGGCGTCCAAGCCCAGGGTGGCCAGTCCAGGAACACCCAGGCCCGGAGTGGCCGGGCCCGGAGAAGCCAGACCCAGAGCAGCCAGGTCGGGAGCAGCCAGACCCAGAACATCAGCAGCAAAGCCCGGAGAATCCAGGCCTGGAGCTGCCAGGCTCGAAGTGACTGGGCCTAGGGCAGCCAGGCCCAGAACAGCCGGGTAGGGAGCATCTAGGCACAGAGCAGCAGCAACCATTCTTGGAGCAGCCAGGTCGGTAGCAGCCAGGCCCGGAGCGGCCGGGCCCGAAGCAGCCGGGCCCAGAGCAGCGGGTCGGGTGCGGCCAGGCCCGGAGCAGCAGCTGGCAGGCTGAGAGTGGCCAGGCCCAGAGTTCCCGGGCCCGGAGCAGCCGGGCCCAGAGCATCCGGGTCGGGTGGGGCCAGTCCCGGAGCAGCAGCAGCCATGCCCGGAGCCGCCAGGTCGTGAGCGGCAGTGGCCAGACCCGGAGCAGCTGGTTGTGGAACAGACCAGAGCAACAGAGGCCAGGCCCGGAGCAGCCAGGCCCGGAACAGCTCGCTCCGAGCCTGCCTCCGCCCCAAGGC